ATTATTACAGTGTCATAGGATTGCATTTCGTCAACAAATCTGGTCTTGATGTCTTCCACTTTACCACCCCTCACACACTTTACTTTTGTGTTTGTCAGTCCACGTTCATTTATGTCTCTTATAATACTATCTCCAATAATAAGTGTTTCATTACTAGGTTGTATACTCTTTTGTTTTTCATGATGATCCTTATTTTTCGCATTAGTTCCGGAGAAGGTTTGATCATACTTTGAGTGTAGTGCCATCACATCTCTAAGATTTTCTTGTAGACCACTGATCATTTTACTTTGTTCAGCAACGAGAGTAGACAGTGAGGCTATTTCCTGATTCATGTCAACTATGATTTTCTCTTGATCAATATTAGCTTGAAGTATGTCCTTTATGGTTCCTGGGATGTTTTTGCAATGGGGACAGAGCCATACTCGTGGGCTAGAGGCTGATTTGATTTTCAAGCATACCCTGTGAAACTGTTCCTGGCATAAGGAACATTCAAGATTATTGTCCTTCTCAATGTGATTCATTTGGCATTGTTTGATGCACATAATTCTTCCAGTTGTTATCATTTTTGGGCTAGGATAGTTGAGCTTAGTAGTGTTGTTAAAATTAGTATCACTATCAGTATCAGCTTGTTTTACATCCATACCATCAGGCCTATGAATTTGTTTGTTAGACTTCTGGCAAGTTGGAGTTGATGGCTTTTTCTGTTGAGGTGGCATTGTTTTAGCCTAGCTTATGTTAAGCCTCACTTACTTGAAACAAAGGGCTTGCTCAGCAGGCAATGTGGATGCTTGTTGTTGCAACAAAATGATGCTTGGTTGGCCTACAAAATTGACTTCAAAAAAAACTTGAAATTTACAACAAAGGCAGATCCATTCAGTGAAGTTATATGTACATTTGTGATCCACAATGTTTTGACAACAGAGTATAATAATTTATAAACACTGACTTCCTCTACGTAAAGTGTAATTTCAAATTAATACTTGCCGATCCATGCAGTGCCGATCCATGTACTAGCTCTTTTACCATTCATTCATGTCGCCTAAAATTAAATTCTAAAGAATTTATAAAAAGGAAGTCCAACAAATATTCAGTACGATAATTCGTTTATCAGCTGCCAAAAATACGTGCAAATCATTTTACATAATATGCCGTAAGTTACATCTGTACGTCGCCTTGTTGGCGTAACTTTATACGGAAGTAGCGCGACGGCCAGGAAATATCAGCGTTCGTTAACGCATTATGATTAGTCTCATAACACAGGTCAAAATCGCTTATCGTCGTATATGATCTCTTTTATTCGCTTGTATGTGTGCTTTATGACAGTTTAGGTTTTTGGCAACATTTTCCCGCGGGCAGGGTTCAACATCGCCGATTTAATTGCAGCCTCGGTAGGCTATAACTATATTTAGATAAATTTAAGAGTTCGAAATTTAACACTGAATGATATCATAAAGAGAAGCTATTGGTCTAATTGGAAATGCTGATAGCACGGTTGCTTGCTATGAAAGTGACAAAATATTTCCAAATTTAAATATATGCAAACTTCTTTTACCGATCATTCAAAGGTGGTAGAGATAAGAAAACAAAATCTTCGCGTACCATATGAGAAGGAGATCCTAAGAACCTACGTTAGTTACCATGGTTACATTTCGGTTAATATCTCCGTTGTAATCATTGTCGTCTCTTGACGTGATTACTTGTAACTAAGAAGTATTATAATTAGTAATCACTTGTTATGGTTATTATTACTATTATTATGCTTATTATGTTAACACTAATGTTTATATAAGTATTCGTGATTAATGAAGTCTCATCAAAACGCCACTTTAAGTATTCAAAGTTGAAGTGAACGATTAATATTGCTGTATTTTCAACGTTGTTGAATGTGCATAATCTGCCCCGCACAAGAAGCGACCACAGGGGGCAACGTTTAAGAATCGTCTGCACACGTTCAGTGGCTTCTCCGTATCACAATACGTGCCTTGGACAATTATTACTCTTGGTTCGGCATCAACATCAACAGCTGTGAGGTGGCGAGTCCGCCCCAAGGCGGCGCATAAATTTGTGAAATCTCGCAAAACACAACCAACACTGTGAAAGTCCTACTTTTGATTGACTCCCTAATAATAACAAAAATAATGAATTTCACAATGACGCAATGGATTAAATAACGACATTATTCCTTGTGGGATATATTTTATTATGTTTATTTTATTGTGCCCAAACGTTAGAAAATTAACATTCCAGCGAACTTTCTTCAGAGTGTTTCACCAGGGGCGAATCCGAGATTTTAAAGACGAGTGGGGGAATAGATGATAGCAAGAATATTTGCATAATTCGCTTTAAATCTGGGGACTTTCACGTTCCCCACACTGAATACATCTGTGGTCATCCAGATATAAGATCACATCGACCATATTCATCCTATAAACAGTATAAATTGGCTTCATAAATATTTAAAATAATTTTGTGTTGCCTTATAAACAGACCAGTACGGTAACTAACAAATCGATCCAAGCATGGTGGATATAATAACGAAACGAAATTAATTAAAATATAAACATTACAATCCCAGAAAAGTAGCGTAAAGCTTAAGACGTTTAATGTTTATATTGTTAACCAAATAACAGTGCAAATTATAACAAAAACGACACCAATCAAACATACTTGGCATTATCTTCGTTCAAAATATACATGGATATAGGCCTATATTACACTGATTTCATTGAATCATGATAACTTAATAAATCATTTTTTAGTTTTAACATTTTAAAATCCACTTTTCCACAATCTCAAAATGGTCTAGTTTGTTTTTTTAATTATTTCGTGAGTATGTGGATTCAAATTATTACTATTTTTGGACCTATGCAATAAAACTTTAAGACTAGATATTGGAAGTCACGAATGGCGCCGCCTATCGATATTTATATAACCCCGCAAACTTTATAAATACAGTACCGGTACGTCGTAACATTTCATCATTTGAATAATGCAAGTTGGGTTGGATTCCTTTGTTGTTGGTCAGTAAGCAGCGACCACACCTACATGTTTGATAGAGTGCTTGGATTATAGCTTTTCATAGCGAAGATATTCAAGAATTTGAAAATTGGATTACTACGTTTACTTAGATTTACTGTAGAGATTTAAGCTATAAAGAAAGTCAAACAGATGTCTCTTTTATTCCTTCTTTTTTACTTTGGTAATGCGACTGTTTTGAACAATGTCGTCACACAGAGAAGCAGATTTGTGTAATCTAAAAACCTTGATGTCATAATGATTGTGACAGCAATCTATATTGAAAAACTGCTATGTAATATCCAGAAATTAAAAATTATGTTTGTTATTGAGCATTTTTAATTCTTTAAAATTGATGCTATATATGTACTGTAGAAATGATAAAACATGCCATATTTGACAACTTTTTCTCTCTTAGGAGTGGAATTCATAAATGTAAAATGTGTGAGCAATCCATTGAAGATCCTGTCCTCCTGCCATGTAAGCCTGAACATGTAGTTTGCAAGGAGTGCATCGAAGAATACTTTCAAACAAAACAAACCAAGAAATGTCCAATATGTAAATTTGATTTTTCTCAAGATTTCAAGTGTGAAGTACAGTCTGAAGTCAGGTGAGAAGATAAAGTATAGTCAACTCTTAAGCAGTGGCGGCTCTAGGATATATTTTCTGGGGTGGTGGAGGGCTGAGCTGTCCGACAGGTGGACTTGGGCTGGTAGGCCTGAGCTGGGGGAAGGGTTTGAGAGGGTGTTCCCCCTCTCAAATGAGATTTTTTAGGAATAGGAACATCTGGATGGCCAGAAATGACACTCTGATTTTGACAGACGTGTTGGCTTAGCGTGGGCCTATTTTGTATATATGTTTTAGCCCGACTGCCCGACGAGCTCTGTCAAATAGGGGATTTGGCCTGTCCGGTGGGGGTGGGGGTGTGCTTAAGCCCCTGCTTCCCCCCCCCCGCTGGCGCCGCCACTGCCGGGTATCCAAATTTTAGGAAATTATGTTTGATATAGGCCTATGTTTCATGTTGTTTGTTGAATGATCATTTATGATATTATAGGGCCTATTCTAATATGACCTCAACGTAAGGAAGAAAACTTTGTCATCTACAAAGTTCAGACCCATATATTTATATTTCCTTGGGCCTAAATAATAAGAGAGTCCGATCTACACAGACGTGGGAATTTTGTTTTATGTTGTTTGTTGAATGGTCTTCCTTGATAATATTACAGTCTAATATGACCACAACATAAAGAAGTCCATTCTTTAAATGTTTAATAGCATAATACAAAAAATTATGATTGTTTATCAATATACACATGTTAGACCCGCAATTTCCAAAAAAATACGTTTTCAGTGCACGCGCCGACGTGGAAAGTTTAACCAAGTTAGTTAATAATATGGTTCTAAAATTCATCTCATGACCACAACTTTTAAGTTGTAACTTCTTGAAAAAAAAGTAATAATGCAATTCTTTCAATAATTGTACTCTGAACATAACCAAACCTGGTACTCTATTATTGCACCTCCACCAGCTGGGATAGTAATTTAATATCCATAATTGTCTTCTGTGATAGGTTGATTGCCAACATTTGCTTAGTGAATATAATGCTTTGGTGGACGGACATAATGCGTAACTCTCATAATAATTTAATATTTTGTAAAAATGATTAGGAGTATGATCACTTCCCATGATAGATTACATCCACAGGGTGCCCCTAAGCCAAAATCTAAGAAATGGATAAATTGCGTGTTTCCGAATCACGAGACTGAGTACCGTAGATTACTGGTTAAAATATAAAAATTTAAGATTTTATTTTTAAATCACAGAAAATAAAAAAATTATATTCAGTACATTCTCGACTGTCTTGGAAATGTGGACATAATCAAAATTGATTGGGTGCTTACGCATCCTTCGCAATACCCCACCTACTGGATATGACTGAAACTTTTACATCTTACGTGCCAATTAATACAGTATTATACGCTTCTCAATTTCTCAGTATTTTTCTTTATTTTATTTTCATTTCCAAAGCTATTCGATTTGAAATTCACATAGGCCTACCATTCATGTCGTTGCTCTTTCTTTTTAGATGTATTTTTAGAAGTGTGTTCGTAAGTTTTAAGCTCTATGTCTGCAGCACCCACTCTATTAAATACCTGTTTTTTGTAACATTAAAATAATGAAATAATAATTCATTAATTAAAAAGTCATAATTAAAATAATAGCATAGGTTTTCGCTTTAGTGTAATTTTGGAATAACAAAATATAATAAAATTGTATATGCCTTTCAATAAGGTTATCAGAATCAACGCACATATAATCCTCCTCCTGTGATTGATTTTTGATTGACCACATTGTGACATAAATCAAAATAATAAAAACTCAACAGTTTACGTTACCACAGTACCGTACATCGCGCAGCCGGTTTAATGAGTACTTAGACAATGCAAAAAGTACTTGCATGTATTTTTTTCTTTGGTTTAGGTAGGTGGCATTTCTGACAAAAAGAGTTGGAATTCGCCAGACCACCAGGCACTACAATTTATATTTTTAAAAAAAATGTTATCTCCCATTCTGACCTTTGCCATGGCGAACGGTGCGAAGGTCTGGATCCGCGCCTACTTCTCGTGCCTAGAAATTGTCCTCTAATACCGGTACCTTTAGCGGTAATTCATATCAACAATGCAATACAACAATTGCTTTTTCTTAAAACAATCTAGGGGGCCTGCAACCCTTTGTCTACAACACCCCTGCATCCAAAATTTACAGCATTCATTTTGAAAAGTGGCCGCAAAAAGAAGCCCATCTCGAAAAGAAGCCCACATCCAAAGCTTGCAAAAAGGAAGTTCAGGGCTGCTATTCGAGGTTTTACGCTATGGATGTTGATTGACATTGGATACGGGCATGCGCAGTTCAGACTACGAAGTGGCTTATAAACAAATATTCTCTGTGATTAAATCTGCAAATCCAATTTAAATATTTGATTACTTATTTACATGAATCAGTATGTTTTTTACCAACAATATATTAAAACATAGTACGGTATACCTTTTATAAAACCAGTAGTTTAAATTTAAGATTAATTACTTATCTTCAAATTTGGATCACTAATACTTCCAGGCTTGACATCACGATCGCCTCTAAACATAGGCGTGACAAATTGCCAGTTATATTTGATTTTTGCCCAACTTTTCAAAAGTTTTGTAAAAAATGTTAGTCTAACCACGGCAAAATATATACACAGGTTATACATATACGTATGAATTACATTATTATACGGCGGTGCTGCTGCATAGGCAAATCAATCCTACAGATGGAGTACTATATTGCTTTAAAACGTATTCATCGAATAAAATCTTCTTGTGATATAATTCTAGTAATAAAAACTAAAATAATAATAAGAAAAAATATTATTTATACTAAGTATAAATAATTAAAAAAATCACGATGTTAGAATTTAGATCTATGTGCTTTTCTATGTGACAGACTAAAGAAAATCGGTAACCATTCAAATTTTAGCACCCGAAAACAAATAAAATTTGAATATACTGTATTACATTGTATCAATATATAGGCCTCATCAAAATCAATGCTTGTATGAGCCAACACCGGTTTAGATCGCACGAAAATATCTCCTTAATTACCAGAAATTAGATAATCATTCGTCTTCTTTCATGTTGCTGGGCGATAGTTCATCTTGTAAATGAGGGGTAGACGGTCTGTCGGCGTTCTCGCCTGTTGATATCCGGCTCGAGTTATCTTTCGTCTGCTTCTGATTCTGGCGCCATTTCATACGACGGTTTTGAAACCAAACCTTCACCTTCAAAATGGAGAGGACGAACATTATGATTGAACGGTAATTGTTTATAAATATGTTACGAAGATTAAATGAAAGTGAATTTATGAAAGTTCGTTGGCCAGAGAATAGGAGAGGCAGGTGAGGGGACCGGGAGGGAGAAGTGGCAGATCTCCTTCTCCACCCGTCCAGGTTTCAGTAAAAAATCTAACTAATAGTGAGATCTTTCAGATATTAATTATTTTACTGGACACCATTATAGTAAAAAAAGACACCCCTACCAAACCATCCCCAGCTCAAAACAATAATATTGCTTTAAACCCTCCCTTCCGACTGCAGAAAAAAAAACCCTGGATCCGCCCCTGACAAAGAGAGTGCTCTGTGAGATATATTAGTATCGGTGTATATTTTTATTTTTGTTTATTTTTTGTAAGCCTATTTACTTTTATTTTGTATAAATAAATTAAATATTATTATTATAACTATTATTACTTTTTGATTTTTTGAATTATTGTCGGTATATTTTCCATTATTAATTAGGGTTATTACTATTTCTTCTTAAAAAATTGTACAAAATATTATTTTCATATTATCATTGGGTCCTTATTGTTACCATTTATCGGTCTTAGTAAAATATTAAGCCTAGGCCTATCATAATATCGTTATTTAACTTAACTTATTTAACCACAACAGACAATCTGATGATATTGTTTTATTATTAGCATTATCATCATCATCATCATCATCATCATCATCATTATAAAGGTTAAGGTAAAGGTAGGAGAATAACCCATAACTTGCAGCGTCATTGTGCCGAATTGCGTATGGGCGTGGTCCGTGACTACCTAGCAGCCGTAAAGAGGAGCTTCTTGGTAGATACATGTTCACATCATTCTCCACATCATCATCATCATCACCATCATCATCATCATCATCATTATTACCATATTGCTATAGGTTGTCATCGTTGTCACTTATTTCCATTATCATTAACTTCATTTATCGTCAGTAAGACATTTTCTCAGACTGCCTTTTCTTGATATTTTCCACCGTGCAATTACCTGAGCATCTGTTAGCCCCAACGCAGCAGCTAGCTGCCTCCGATCTGGCTTATTCACGTACTTTTGCACATCGAATCTCTTTTCCAGGCCTTTTCGCTGAAGGCTAGTAAACACCGCCCTGGACCAGCTTCTTTTCCGTTTTACTGTTCCGGAAAAATGACCAGAATTAGACTGATGTCCAACCGTCTGCCACAGAGACCTGGGTTTCAAAGGTGAACCTAAAGGACGTAAGAAGTGAAATATTTTTTTCAGTGTATCATTATTGTCTGTGTTTCTTTCATACACAGAGTTTCAAACATTCACTTGTGTTGGCAAACACAAGAGTTGCTCCACATCCACATGGGCTGTAAACACCACAGAATCGCGCTCACCGTATACAGTACTTTCGACCAATCAAGAGCGTCTAACTTTAAAGCTTCATTCACACTAGAGCAGTCACAAACACAAGCAGCACCTTTATGTCTCCGCCAGTCACCACAGTCGATTTTCAGTGCAAACAAACTTGAAATTAAAAGCTTAGGCCCTTTTAACATAGGGGTGAGTCTGGTTAATACTGAGTTTCCAGGGATGTATCCAGGATATTTTCTGGGTGGGTCGTGATCATAATTTTTTGGACCTTTTCAGTGGGAGACAGAAAAATCGAGTACGGCGCCATCAGTTTGAAGCGGATGGCAGGCTCAGTTTCAGAATTGCTGGAATTGAGATAGTTTACGTCACGCATTTGGCAAGGTCTTTGGACTCATTGCTGGTACCTCATCAATGCTTTTTCATTTATTTCATTGTGAAAAGGCCCTAGAAAAAAATGTCTTTGGAAAAAAATGTGGGGAGGGTCGTACGACCTTCCCGATCCCCCCCTCCCCACCCCACTTCTTGCATACACCCATGATTTCACACAAAAATTATCGGTCTGATCGACTTATTAGTCTGACCAGTATGTTCCTGGGTTGGTGCATTTCACGTTGTACGTTCCCGTGAGCGCTACACGTGTGACGTCACGCACCTATGCAATGCCGTAGCCAGGATTTTCAAAATGTGTGGGACAATAATCAGGGTGGACTCACTTTACGCGTAAATGTGGGCTTATTTTCTTAAAAGTTGCCCCATTTTACGCAAAAATATGAATAGTCTGGACCCATTTTCTTAAAAATTGACCCTTTTTACACAAAATATGAGAAATCTGGACCCATTTTCTTTAAGTTGACCCATTTTACACAATATGAGAAATTACCCATTTTTTGTGGACCCAATAGAAACATTTTGTGGGACTGTCTCAACTGTCCCAACAGCTAGCTACGGTATTGCATCTATGTATCAAAAATTATCAGATCTTTGCTATGTATGGGACGGAAGTGGGACTACCAGGGTTTGTGGTCGCATCCGATGAGAGCCATTGTGAAAACACGCTGTAAGAAACTACGCGTTGCATCGTACGGTATCCAACCACAGGCCGATGGGTAGCATTAAATATTTCATTTCAATGGAAACTACAAATGTACTATAGATATAAAATATTTGTGACGTCATTTCACGAGAACTGAGGAACATATCACTTTATTTTGAGAGGCCTATATGTGGTGAACGCATGAGGATATTTTGCCGAGTCGTGGTGCCAGACATTCCAATGTGTCAGGAATCCATTATAACAATAATGACTAAACGATGTTCAACAATTGTTAGCTCAAGTTTGATAACTCCATTTGGATATTTTTACCCTAATAAATAGTTGTTAGTGCGATATGTGAGCCTATCGAACGAAATTACATTTTACATATAGTGGTCCCCTTTCCTTTTGTCGTAATAAACACAACCAACCAACAAAATTACATTAGTAATTTAAACTTTTGTGTTTACGGTGCTATCTGTAACCATGTACCTCCATGCTGTAACACATTTATGGAGAAAAACTAGACAGTGTTTGTATAGAATTTTGTTAATCATTTTGATCAGGCCTACAAATTGTTCCTACCTCCAATAGTAATATTGACTGCATCAACTCAAAGTGCTTTTGATATGGTTTCTGTTTCTGTTAGATTTTTTCAACAAGTATATTTGACATAAATAATTTCGGTAGTCTCTTGTTCTGACAGATGTCACAGATACTTTGCAAGTAAAGAAGATCAACAGAAATTTCTGTCAAAAAAAAAATCTTATGGGAAATAGGAACATTTGCTCGAGGAAACGAAACATCTTGCGCGCTATTCCGTTGATAGTTATTGTGAAACGCAAAGCTAGGCCTAGAGCTCTGTAGAAATCCAGTGGTCTAAATTCCAGTAGCTCGCGGCTAAATAAGTTCACAATCATTACGTTCCCAGTTGTGTCAATACATTTTTCTATTACAACCAATAATATATTTATGACATCTGTATATGCTGAGTTCATGCTTAATTGTTTCATCTCCAGGGAACAAATATTTATATCATTATTGGTTTGGTGGACGCTGTTTTGTAACCCTGAGCTGATAACGTCACCCGAAAATCGAAACCCAAAACTTGCCTAGAAGTTAATGTACAACAGTACTGTAGGCCTACGCTTTTTATCGGTAATTTAATTTGAAGAGAAGTTGGTCGTGGTATTTGATACTTTAAACAAAATTATTACAATTTTATTGAGTGAATAATATACTTAATGTGTATATTGATAACGATGGCTGTTGGCTCACTGGGTCACGTGAAGGGGAAAGTAGGCCGAAGGGTCAAGAAGTTTGAGACGCATTTTAACATAATATAAGTA